TGAAAAATACATAAAAATATTGAGAAAGTTATATAAAACATTATTTAAATATCTTTATCAATAGGGTAGGTTAGGTTAGGTTATCGGGTTTTGTTCAAGTGACCACCCTCTTTCGATCCCCCACCTCCACCCGCTTGAAAATATTTTTTTCATTGAATTTTATTTGAATTATAGTGTATGAAAATTATCAAAATAATCAACTTTCAACCCCCATAACTTTTCATGGGGGTGAGACCGCCGCAAATTTTTTATGGCGTTTTACTCAGGTGTCCACCCTCTTCCGATCCCCCCTACCCTCTTTCGAACACCCCTACCCCCACCCCCATCTAACCCCCATAACTTTTTATGGGGGTGAGTAGGTACGCCACGAACTTTTTATGGTACAGTGGTAGGGGGAGACCTCCTCTTTCGATCCCACCCATCATCTAGACATTTACCAATATATATTTATTTAGAAATGACGGTATTAAATTATACAAGTAAAAACCAATTTGCCAAAAATAACAACAAGAAATGTCCGCGTCGATTGTTTAATTTATGGAACGTCGAAAGAGATTAGAACAAATTGATTCGATGATGTAAGTGGCGTGTTAACGTGTAGAAATCTCTTCAACCCATCGCCGTGCTTTTGTTGATTTCGATGAAGTGTCTATTTATCGAGTTCAGTTTTCGGAAAAACATCCTGTCACGCATTTAACGTATTTTTTTTCGTTTAATTTCATTCACTTAATAAAACACTAAAACCAAAAAAATTGTAAAAAGTGGGTCACGTAGTATGGGTACGTTCCCTAACATGATGGTCGGCGGTTGGGGCAAGACACAAGCACAACATGAGCATGACACTACAAATGGAAACTGGCCTTCAGACTTGCGTTACCTTACGTCAAATTTTTTGCGTCACTAAAATTCTGTCCGTACATTTCCCAATCTTAAAAACCAAAGAGCGGAACTAGCAACATTTGGATTTTGATGTGCTAAGGCAATTATGAAGTGAAATTCAAGTCTAGTTTAGCGATAAGGTTGGTTATTTATTTGGTTATATTTAATTTATATATTACTGCTTTTGTTTTTTTTAATCTATTTCGTTGGTCTATGTTATTAAATATTTTTTTACTTACGATAGTATCAAATTCTACGTAAAAATATCCGAGAAAAACTTTTAAAAACTTTTGGGTGTTTCATTCCCACCAGCCAGTAATGCTGGTGGGCCGGCAGTCCCTCCGGACTATGCCGGAAGGTAGGGCGGAAGGCCCTCTTCAGCCTGCTTTCAGGAATCGTGGGAATGGGTGGGTGGTGGTTCGGGTGAGAAAGATGAGACGGACGAAATGAAGACAGAAGAGA